TTGTCTTGCGTTGATTTACGTTTAAATTGTGAAACAGAAAATTAAATATAAACAAAAAATTGATTGGTTAAGTGAATGAATGAATGTAGCCTTACGGGATATCCTGGGAGATGGTGGACGGACTGGATACATAAAAAACCCTACCGTGAACGTCGTCTCATACCAGACGTGGTATCGATGATTTGTATTTTTGGCACTCACACTGGACAGAGTATGAGAACGGTCGTTCAGTTTATAATGTTGAATAATGGTTCACGCGTAGTGGGACATCCTTATGAGCCCCTAGGGATACTAGTAAACAAATAAAGAAGGAAAGTTACTATTCTTGGTCACTTGAATATAATATTGAAATGTTATTTGGTTATTGTCTTTATAGATTGATTTTAAAAATCTCACAAACGGTAAATATATGTAATAAATTATTTTTTTATGATAAATGAACTTACTTAAATGAAGAGCTCAATTGGTTGTTTTTATGATTTTTACCAACCTTCAGTTTCTGTATCGGTAAATAGTGTGATATTCTTATTGAGTTAGTATAGTTCACCATTTCATTAACTATTTCAGATCAAGAGAACCAAAACTCAGATTATGATCAATAAGAGGGTTGTAAATAGTTCACTACTGGGACTCATTCAAAAGCTAGTGAAGGTCCAAATTCTGTTTTTTTTTTAAATGCGATTGTACATTCGAAATAAAGTCGCGATGAACGGTCCATATTCATTTCTTCTTAAATACGATCGGACGATCGAGATGAAATACAATGAACGACCCAAATTAAGAGAGACAGGTATAAATATCTCTCATTACACCAAACCCAAACCCTAGTCGTCAGCCACCCGGCGGAGAAGAAGAACCAGTCGTCAAAGAAGGGAGCCAACGGCCACCCCCTGCCGCCCCGAAGCCACCTTCGGCCACCAAAAAAAATAAAAACTCTCTTGTCTGCTCAAAATTTGATTTCGAATACCCTCATGGCCAAATTTGAGCAAAAGAGATGGCGGATGAGCTGAAAACCGCGGGTAAAGCCTGGCGGCACCATCGCGGGCAAAACTCAAAATCGCCTCCGATAAGCCCACTCTCGTTTCACATTTTGTGCAATTTTTTCACCATTGTGTTCATCGTTTTGTTTTCTATAAGTTGATCGAAGAAAAACACTCAGCCGTGAAAGTGAGTCAGTGGAGCCGTCGCATCGAAAAATTTCGCCGCCAGTAGGTTTTTATTTTTTTGACTTTGTTCGGCCAACTGAGGCTCCTTAACGTATTTTCTCGTATTGATGGATATAAAACCTGCTGAAATCGCCCAAAACTGGCCGAAAATGGACAGGTCGAGAGAAACCGCCGTCGTGGGCAACGGTACTGTCGTCGAAGCACGGCGGTGCTACCGTGTCAAAATTCTAAAATTGGTCGAAAAAGTTTTTTAATATCGATTTTGGGTTTTTTATGGTATTTTTAGGTACGAGAAGCGTATTTTAATTTTCGCAAAAAAATGTAAAAAACTCGGGGACCACCAGTAAACGTAGTAGAAAGTTTGGTATTTCGAACACTGATTCAGGTAAGAATCTCTCACCTTATTCTCTGTTATGAAATTGAAGTTTAATTATCAATAATACGGTATTTTACATAATTTAAAAATTTTCGAAAATTAATTATAAG